GGTTGCACGCATTTCAGCGCGAGCTGACTACGGTGAAACTCGATTTCCTCCTATGGCGATGGAATTGGGTGTGTCCGGATATGATACGCAAGTGGCTGCGGGACAAGGATCAACCTACGCGCGGATTCCGACCGCACCCGGAGCGATGGGAAGTTAGTGACTAGGAGCAGGTGTTAGGAAGATGCACGGGAGAAGAAAGCCATCTTCTATTCGAGTGCGAGAGTGTCAATGTCTCGAAGGAGGAAGAAGCTTCCTTCGGAGCGCTGTTCAAGCATAGCAAGTCGAGCAAGAACGGGTACAAGACCTGTGACTACAAGGATTGCTTCCGGAGGAATGTCGCGGTAGCACTCATTCAACTCTTGCAGCCGCACCGGACCACCTACATAACTTCTTGGCAGGTGGGGTTCGTGGAGCTGGCGTTGTCCGGAGCTCCGATTCATTGGGCTCGCATTCTTTGGAAGGCGACGAGACAACATGCATTCGAGGAGAAGGGAGGATCGATCAATCACCTCTCCCCCTTCTTGATCAATTTCTATCGGTCGATGGGATGTTTGACCGCGACGGATCGGGTACAATTTCCATTGCTGTCACGCAGCAATCCGGGCCGATATGTGAAGGATGTCGAAGTCGATACCGACGAAGATGAGACGCCCGCTTGCACGCCACCAGCTCAACCGAGGGCGGAGGAAGAACCGCTCGTAGCACGAGTGCCGCGGAAGCGAAAGTGGAAAGGAGAGGCGGAGCAGAGCTAGCAATGCGATGCTGCTGCTCCCAACCGAAAGCGGCCGATGACAGAGCTCTGCAGTCGATTTAAGCAGAAGGCTCGCAGGCTCGTCCTGCCGGCAAGCAGCGCAGAAACGGGAAGAGCTGAAGAGAGGAGAAACTCGCCATCCTCAGGGGAGGATGCGAGTGCACGAACTGCGGAGAGGTCAGCGGACCTCCCTGCACCGAAGGCACGGACGTCTTCGGCAAGAGCAAGAAGGCCTTCGGGTCAAAAAAGACAACATGCAGCACCGACGAATGTGCCGACGACGGACAGGTGCTGCGCTTCCAAGCAAGTACCATTCGATGCTCAACTTCGGGTCAAGAGCCTTCGGCGCAGCAGAGGAGTGAGGAGGAGCCTTCGGCTCAACGGACTTCGGGTCAAGCGCCTTCGGCGGTAGACGCCTTCGGCGATACTCCTTTGGCGCAGGCCTAATGTGAGGGAACGGCGACGGACGAAGGATGGAAGGAGGAGACACGTGTGCCTTCGGCACAGTCGCCTTCGGTGGTAGCAAATCAAGCAGGAGGAGCGGACTTGTCGGGAGCCGGGTCTCCCACCGCATTAGATATTTTGGGAGGGAGTGGAGCGGTGGCCGCGGCAGCAGAAGCCACGCAACCCAACTCCCGGGAGTCGCCGGGGAATTCTGTAGCGACCGAGATCCTCAATTCGGAGGATGACGAGGATGAGTCGAGCTCGGAGGAGCAGGAAGAGGAGCTGGTGCAAGGCACGCCGACATGAGTCTTGTGCAAGCAGGTGGTACCCCTGTAGAGGTACCTTGATCGCAAGGTGGCGAAGTATGGTGATCCCCGCCATCAGGGGTCCTACGTCGAATTGGTGCGCAATCGGACGCGGACCAAGGTCAAGACAAGTCGGTTGTTGGCTTCCTTGGACGAGACAATCAAGGATTTGAGATTGAAGAACGAGGCCCTGCGTGGACACCTCGCCATTTTGCGGAAGTTGCAGAAGGCGGTCAACAAGCTGCGAGATGAGAAGTTGGACGAAGCGGAGAAGGAATTTGCGAAGCAGTGGGAGAAGCTCGCGGAGGAGCTCGTGCGACAGTCACGGTTACTAGAGCAGTGTTAGAGCGCACGTCAAGCCGATGAAGAGTTAATTCGTCACCTGCAATCGCAGTGCGGCGAATTGAGAGCGCAGCGTGCAGAGGTAGAGCTGCATCCGGTAAAGGTTGAAGGCGATCGCCGGCGCGCGACAGATTGCACGCGGGAGGAGTTGGCAGAGCGAGTGAACCGCTATGTCAAAGGTTACACTCACTAGGAAGTGGCTGCGCAGGAGAGAATCACACTGCGCGGGTTAGAGATTCGTGCGGCGGAATTGATGTCGGGTGACAGTTGGAGCCGGCGGCGGGTCGCGAAGAGGTTAGATGCTTTTCTAACAAGGTCGCGAGACGCCATTGCAAACCTCAAGGCAGAGATGACCGAGGTACTTCGGCGGCTGGGGTTGCGCAGCAGAGCCGACGACTGGTCGGGTAGGAAGTTAGTGCGCGGTAGTCCGTCGCGCAGGAGACATAGCAGATGACATGGAGTGTAGTGTAGTGTAGAGTGTTAGGTAGTTAGGACTTAGGAGGTATAAAGTAGTTCAAGGCGTCTTGCCTTGGGATTTTTCCAGTTTCGGAAGTGCAGATCAGGAACTCATTTTCTGTGCGCGTTTGTGTACTTAGTTCTGTCACTGCGCAATAGGAGCTACAGCTTGACGAAGTTACCGCATTTTGTAGCTGAAGGCCTTCGGCCGAATGTTCAGAGCTAGTGTACCGGTTGATACTTGAGCAGTTTGTATCGACACCTGCGGGTGATTGCTGAATGCTCAGAGCTGGTAACTGGTTAGATACTTGAGCAGTTTGTCCTTACACCTTCGGGTGATTGTTCCTGTTTGTACTCCTTCGGGATTTTTCCCCTGAATGCCAAAGTGAAGTTTTGTTACTTCGAGTAAGCCTTGGTTGTAGATTCAAGTTACGCTGTAGAAGACGCCCTCGGGGCTAGCCTCTGCAGTATTTATGGGAATGACTATTGCCTGAGAATTCAAACTCGTTAGTAGATTGTTATGGTGTGACATTGGATCTTTTCTCAGTTGAGTTTCTCAGTTCGGTTCTTGTATTCTCTGCGCGTTTTGTAAGTTGAGTGTGTTGTTCACCGCGTGAGAGTGACTTCGGTTTGAAGTAGGAAGTCCAACCCGGGTGCCCTGCGCTAGCAGAAATTAGTGGAAGGGTTGTAAAAGCCGGAGTTGGGAGTCACTACCTGTAGATACTCTGAGTGTACTCTTGAAAAACTTTCCCCCTGAACCTTAAGAGGAGGTCATACTCGACCTCTGAGTGTGCTTTTCCAGTTTCAGGTGTGTGTTGGGTGGTACTACGCTGCATTGTGTGTCCTCCGAGTGACCTCAGAGTTGAGCACTTGCAGTATTCTTGGGAGTGAGAGTCGCCTCAGAATTCAAACTCTTCAATAGTCTATTAAACGTGACATTTAGTACTCTGTGTGTTGCCTCTATCCTTGTCGGTTTGACCCTTTTGCTGCTATACTGTAGTTTTAGCCTTTGGTGGGTTATTACAGTCATGAAACCAGATAGGCCATCCACCTATCCAATGCTAATTGCCAGGCCTTGGTTGTACGAAGCTATGGTGATTATTGATTGGGAAAAGAAGGAGTTCAGATTCGGAAAGCAACCAATAGTAGTGTCGTAGGAAAAGGTGGAGCATGAAGGTGAGACGACTCAGATTAGTGAGGAGTATGATTCAAATTTCTCAAACAAATCAGATGTGGATGATGCATATACGATTCATTCAGGAGAGGTGTTACAAGAAGATCATCCATGTGCAAACAACAACTTGAGGTCTTCTATAAATCCATGCACACCAGGAGTTGAGCAGATGCACGGATCAGATGATACTAAGTCTGATCTGAAGACGATTCAAGAGATCCAGGGAGAATCAGATGCAACCAGCGAGACAATGGATTCCAAAGGGAAAGGGGAAGAAGATCAAGAAGGAAGTCACGGTGTATGGTGGCCTAAGGCTAGCTTCTTTAGAGGAGAGCTTGGATTCTCGTTTGAGAACAAGATGGATGTTATCAGATCAGAGCAATACAGGAAAATTTCAGTCAAGGAGGGCAAGGACACTCAATTCTCCCTCTGCTATGCAAGTCTCTGCGCGTCGCCTTCTCGGATTTCTCTCTGCCAGAATGTGTGCGCGCGCAGCTCTCACGAGAAATCGAAATCGCAAATTCAAGAATGAGTCGCCCGCCCTCGGCTCACAAGATTTCATTGTCGACACTTGGTCATGAGTTTCGACTCACTTGATGGCTGCGCCGGCTTGGAGGGGTAACGGCCCTCCTCTCGCACGCTCGACTTCACGCTCCGCCGTTGTGCGGACTCACACGCTCAAAAATTGAATTTGATTTTTGTCATCGTACTTCGCCGCGGCCGTGTTCGCGCAGCGCCGAAGGCGTATCGCCGAAGGCGCGGCGGCGGAGACTTCCGCCTCTGGCCCACTTGCAACTCTGATCTATCCCGCACTGCCGAAAGCGCTTCGCCGTAGGCGTTCTGCCGAAGGCGAACTCCTTCCGCCGAAGGCGTTGACCCGCAGCGCCGAAGGCGTTTCTACCGCCGAAGGCATTGACTCCCAATGCCGAAGGCGGGGTGTACAAAGAAGTTCACCCCCAAAGGCGAACATCTAGGGCCGAAGGCGGCTCGTCCGTCGACCTAGCCCTTCCGCCGAAGGCGCTCCCTCTCCGTACCTTCCGATAATCATAACTCCTTGATTACTCATCCGTTCCAAGCATTCTTGGGCTCGTTAGAATGAGCGCGTTGAGCTCTTTCCAACGGCACCCTAATCAAGTCAAGGCATTGAATTGAATTAGTTCTGAGGGATTTCTCTAGCGCCGAAGGCGGATTATGCGCCTTGCGCCGGAGGAGATTCCCTTCAGAAACAATCGTGCGGGTCGGGGCGCCTGTTCCGGACATTGCGCCCAACTCCTGGATTCTTCGAGATCATACGAGACCTGCGGTTATCCATCTTCACTCAATTTAAATGTACCGATTACCATTTATACGGCTGTTGCGGTACTGATTTCCAAACATGTTTTAAATTCCGCACAAAAACAAAAAGTGAGTTACCACACACATGTACGTCTGAATGTAACGTGGGTTTTTTTTAGTATTTTCTTTACTCAGGGGGCCCTTCTAGTGTATCCGGTTACAATGACAGGGTATTTTTTATCACATAATAGTGTTATTGGTGTAATCTCTTATAACAAGTCTTGACAATCATCTTTCGATGTCTCACTTTGGAGTTCTTGCCACGCATTACACTAGTAGGCTGATAGGTTGGTGAAGAAGAGTTGGAGTGAGGCCTCTTTACCAGCAGAGTCAAAGCGAGTCTCAGGTGGTCGGCAACTATGTGGTCCTAGCACGCTATCACCATTGGAGATCGAGATCGACAGCGGGCCGTCGCCAGGGTTTAGGCATCACTACTGCATATTCCCTCATCTTCATATCGTCTTAAGAAATAACTGCTAGTTGACAGTGAGCTACCTGATCCCTCATCTTGTCCATCCATTTTGCCTTCACCAGCACCACCCTGCAATTCCCATTCACTTTGGGAGTCCTCGTCCATACTCACTAGCTTCTCCATCGAAGCGCCTTTCTTTGCTTTCCCAGCATCTACAGTTGAATTGGACCATCCTCCACCATCTCCATCTGCGCCCGGCGTCGCAATAGATGCGAAGTCGGAACCGGCGCCGTCAAACCGCGACGTACTTGGTGTAGGTTTTTTAGAATGGGACTTTTTCGGTGGTGGTGGCTTCTTCTTGTGAGATACGGGTTTACGAACTTCTCCAGCAAGCTGATTTCTGACGCCTTCCAGAGCTTTCTTTGCCATATCCTTAATGATGCGTGCCTGCGATAATGTGCAACTTCGAGTAAGACCGAGTCCTGACAAATCCTTCACGTCTTAACTTCTCTACAACTGTAACAAGCACAAATCCCTCCATTTACGGTTCTCTGAAGCGGGGCTAAGAATTCGCATTAAGCTCAGACACACGCATCGGTCAAAACCAAATACATAACAAGCTACGTAAAAACAGCAGATGACAGAATACTAGCTGCTTGTAGTATATCGTGTCAGGCCCATTATAGCGCATCGCATTGGTGCAAGTAAGATATATGTCTCCCTGTGGGAAACAACATGGACATAGAAATCAGCACAAAAGGATCCACCCTGTTCCACCAGCTGGAGCCACGCCATGTTGGAACTCTGGAGTCCTCTTCCTCCTCGAGCAATACTCTCCCCAGCAACTGTCAAGACCTTCTCTAGGAATTTTTGACAATCTCACACAATCGGAAACCTTCCACATTCTCCCAGTTCTTGTTGGATGTGGCTTCCACCATATTCTCTCGGTACCTGCATGAGAAATCACAGTTAAAAAGTGCATCTAAAAATGCACTTCGAACTTTTGATTTCTGTTGCCTTTCTCGGCTGGCGCAACCATCCTGCCACCAATCAATCCATCTGTACGAACCATCCTGCACTTCCACAATCCTTGTCCGCTCCTCCAGCTCCATAAGCACTAGCAGCAGCTCCCGCTACCTCCTGCAGTCGCTTCTTGCTTTCTTGGCGGACAACGATCTGCGTTCCCTGCCTAAACTTTCTCCAACCCTACTAGTACTATCTTTTTCTTTCTTTATTTTTCTCTCTACTATTTACTAGATTAAAAATGAGACTCCAACCTTACTAGTAACATCTTTTTATTTCTTTACTTTTCTCTCTACTATTTCCTACACTAAAAATGAAACTCCAACCCTACTAGTAACATCTTTTTATTTCTTTACTTTTCTGTCTACTATTTCCTACACTAAAAATGATAATCCAACCCTACTAGTAACATCTTTTTAATTCTTTACTTTTCTCTCTACTATTTCCTGCACTAAAAATGATAATCCATCCCTACTAGTAACATCTTTTTAATTCTTTACTTTTCTCTCCACTATTTCCTGCACTAAAAATGATAATCCAACCCTACAAGTAAAATCTTTCCTTTTTTTGTCTCATTCTATTACTTCCTAGATTAAAAATGAGAATCTAACTCTATTAGTAAAATTTAGTAATTTTTCCCTCTACTACTTCCTAGATTAAGAATCATAATACAACCCTATTAGTAAAAAAAAATTAAATTTTTTTTATTTTTCTCTCTTCTACTTCCTAGATAATAATGTTAAGAATGTTTTTCTTTAGTTATTTTCATTACACATGATCTATTATGTGATTTTCATCACATATTAATAATCTAAGATATTTTTACTTTTCCATTTTTAATTTCAAACGTTGAATATACATTGTAACTTCAAAGTTAGAATATCCTATCAGTTATCGCCAATAGTGGATAACATCCACTATTGTGACCTCAGGGATATGTGGATAACGTCCATTAGTTCTTAGAATCCACATAAGCGAACTCGTGTTATATATATATATATATATCAAATTAATTTTCGTTGTAATATCTAGAATTGAGTTGAATCTAAACAGTACAATTTCTTTGAGAAATTTAAATTCAAAGTCTTCCTCGTGCTGAATGATGAAACCACGAGGATGTTGTTGAGTCTACTGTTTTCAATGTATACGTTCAGTATTGGTTTATGTAATACATGTAGTCAGTTATAAACTTAAACACCTTGACATTTGATATCAATACATTATAGGATGACCTTATCCAGTACACAATGTGAGGCAAAAGGCTCGAAGATTGCTGCACCTGCTTCTCAACGCAAGTTCATGTGGCGTATACTGAATTTTGCTAATCATTCTCTTAATGAAAGAGATGTACGGCAGTAGGATTGTCGGCGTGATTCAGTATCCGAGCTGGCCTGTTTCTCGTTGAGTGTCAAGGGTTCGAGCTCCAATGAAATAATCCAATTAAGTTCTCTGTAATTTCTCTGAAGGCTACTCCAACTGGTTTTGGGTTATCAATGTGTTAAAACAAAATGCACATGGCAAAAGAAATTTGTAACTACTCCTTGTCATATCGAACGAAGTTAGCGAAGCGCGAGGCAGTTCAATTCCAAAGATATTTTCGACGGATAAAATTTGGAAGAAAGGTGTTCATACACTAACCTTAAAGGTATGCGTGAGATTGGATGATATTCGGAAGCTAACTTCGACATACGAGGTGAGCGTGTATCAGAGCCTTCCCCTTATCGTTTGAAATGAGAGAAAACCCGACGGTACGGGAGTTATCATATTCATCATACGAAGAAAGAATGATGAATAAGTAATCATCATCTAGGTTATCATAAGGTATCATGGTGAATCTCACATGAGGATTCATCATGCTCCCACATGACATCTAATCTAGACTTGCAGGCTCGATACTATCCCAACATAGCAAGAACAAGGTATGGAACAAGGATCCTTTAAATTATAATGTTTAAAGAGGGATCTCTGTATCCGACTATACAATAGAACTACCATAACCCCTGTTTTACCAAACTATTCTCACAAAAAATTTATGAAACAAAAATCCCTTAGACTCAAATCTTTATGTCGGATCGATGTCTCCAACAAGCTCTCTACAGCGACCGTTAATCCTACATAATCAACCTATTCTCAGAGACAATTCTAAAAAAATCAAACCTATTCTATGAAACAATGATGCTTTCTACTAAAATCTTTTTTGTCGGATCAATGTCCCCAACGAGCTCACTAAATCTACCATAAACTACATATAACCAAACCTTATGTTCACAGAAACATTTATAAAACACTGATTTGCTAGACTAAAATCTTTATTCTCGGATCATTGTCTCCAACTAATTTACTAAACCGACTGTAAACCCTATATTATCAGCCTATTGTCAAGGATAGATTTATTAAACAACGATCTTTAGATGGAAAGTTTTATAATCAGATCAATGTCTCCGACTAGTTAGCCAAAACTACCACACACACTATATAAGCAGGCTATTCTTACAAAAACATTTATTAAACAATGATTCTTTAGACGAAAATCTTCATTATCAGATTAATGTCTTCAACTGATTCCCTGAAACTAGGATAAACCCTATATAATCAGCTATTCTCAAGGAAACATTTATGGAACAATGATCCTTTAGATGAGAATTTTTATTATTGGATCAATGTTCAGTAGTTCACTAACTTAAACCCTATATAACCAAACTATTCTTACATAAACATATGAGAAACAATGATCCTTGAGACGAAAATGTTTATTATCGGATCAATGTCTCCAACTTTTTCACTAAATCTACCATACCTACTAAGGAAATCACTACCTCTCGTCTTTCCAGCAAATAAGTTTCACAGGATGGCTGTTACCAGAAAGAACTCCGTGATTTCACATCTCTCTAGTAATTGACAGCGGTAGGATATTCCTGTCACAATACGGCATTCTTCCACTCAAAGTCCCTGCTCCGTCCCTTGGACTACGCTTTCACAGATTGTTACGCAATCTACAACACTGATGTCAACCAAACATGTGATCGTAGCGATCTTCCTGGAGATCAGGACGCCACTCTGATATGAAACATTCGATCCTCGTTGAAGAAGCGCTCTCGTCAAATTCCTGACAGTTGGATGCGTGACCCAAATGTTTTACCGTCGTTCCTGCAAACATCGGCAAGTCCGGGCTAGTCCTCACAGGTTATAAACCGCACTTCACTTTCTGGAGTTTGTCCAGGCCTGATCATCGACCTGTGCAATATATCTCAACGGGTCTAGTTTCGCACACTTCAGACCAGCAGCCGACAATGACGAATCAAGAAGGAGAGGGTGCGACTGAACATGCCTGATCATAACGTTTCATTCCAGGTCAAACCAATCCGCTGCGTTTTGCAGCCACGATTTTCCAAATTTTAAACGAGAGGAAATTGTTAAAACGTGTCGTTTAAGAATATTCTTTTGTAGTATAAAATTTGTAGCTGAGTTTTGAAATGTGAAATTTGGTTACCCTGGATTTACCCGAGCAAACCCCGGCTAGCTAAACAACTCAACTACTACCACCTCTCAAACGTGCGGGTTAAAATTTATTCGTTTGCGTTGCATAAGCATCTCCGCCTTGATGGTTGCGAAATAAAAATATTCCTGACAGCGCAAATGAAAAATAGTAATGGGAGTCCTTGGCTTGCCAATGATACAAGAAATGATATGTCAAATATATGATTTCATCGTTAGTAAATTCAAGATCGTCCATGCAGACTTGTTACTCACACTATTTCTTTCGTGCTACTTCTTCTATCATAGTGGTAAATAGATCAAGACCGTGGTACCCAAAGCGTCAAAATGCTAAAAACACAATACAAACAACCAACTCTAACCTAGGAGAGAACCAAAAGAATTCCCTAACTAGTGACCAAAGCACTAAAACAATAATTAATAACATCCCTAATGTAACAACCTAGATTATAAGGCTCAAGCTGAAAAATAAAATAACAAATCTTAACAATAATTTTATGAGTCACTCTAATCTCAACATATCTAATACAAGTAAGAAATACATGCTCTTCATATTCAATTTTTTTCCATCACATAGCCTACAAATATATTCATTCTTATTAATGTTCAACTAACGCTCTTCTTCAATTCCAAGACTAGAAGACCCTGTTCTATCCCTAGCAATAATATGACATAAAGATGTCCTCAAGTAAATATCTTTGCTAGTGCATTCTTCCAACTTCGCCACTCAAACCAATAGATATTGTATATAATGAGTGTGTAAATATAAGTTCGATAAAATATTGTTCTAAATTGTAATATTGAAATATTAACATTTTGATGGATTTAAAAAAAAATTAAAATATTTTTATATAATCCTAAAAAGACAATAGTTTTAAAAATGAATTTGAACTTTAATTTATAAAAAGAAAAGAAAATAAAACATATTGAAGTAATTTTTTATATATATTCGACGATATATGTGTTTATTTAATATGTTTCATATTAAATTTGAATTTCAAATAAATATAAAAATTTTTAGTATATATTTTCAATTTTAAAGTTTTACAATCATATCTGAGTTTTATTGTTAGGAATGCATAAAAAATCAATAAAAAATAGTTTTAGAAATAAATTATTCTTTCAAACAATCAAAATTTGTATATTTACAATTTTATTTTCACCATATAATTATCATCATATGCTACTCTCACCACCTATTTCACTTCTCGCGTTTCCATCCTAGTTGTGAGCTCTTAGAGTTCCAAGCACCACACAACGGCCATCATCTACTGAAGTTTTAAGGTTGTGATTACCGGAATGAGCTTGTAATCAACTTCCAAGGATTCGCTATGTTCTGGATTCTTCTTCTTGGAATAGGTCTTGTAAGTACGGTATAGCGACCTTTCTTCCTTTGATACATCCGTTCTGTTCCGGTCTTAAGACATGGCTGCTCTTTCGTTTCTAGCTGTTGCTGTCAATGAGCGTGAGACCTGAAAGCCCAATGACCACCTGCTTTCACGACCTTTTGCGCAGTTTGCAAGACTCTACACTTCCAGACAGCTGTGTTGAACGACAGCGTCCGCAATTGAGTGTTTGTCTTCTGAAATGGTCCGATAGAAGCAACGGACTTACTTCATGTAGAAATGATTCCTTATTTCTCCATAATATTGACAGTTTTAAAATTTTTCGATTTTATCACCACAAGCTCCAAGCGTTTCTGGTGTCTCTCGAGACTGAAATGAGTAGTGAGTTTAGCTCTGGGTTGAAATGCGAAGTCGGTTTCGTTTCTAAATTTCACATTCAGGTATGTCGATCAAAACCCACCTCTTCAACTTCCAAGCTACACGATTTTACTTTGAGTTCAGTGCATTGTTGAAATGACTTGTTTTAGTTATAACACGATATGAATATTTCAAATCCCATACTCAAACACATAGACTGTAGGAGATTGTCGCTTCAAAAGAACAATCGATTTTCAGTCTCGTCACAATAGTTGATAATGTCAGTAAGTTCTTGAAACGAACAGAAGCTTTTTGTTTTCATGTTGCTAATGCCAATGTTGATCTAACTTTTTAAGGATTGTCAAGGTTGTGACAGCTCCTTGCAGACATAATTGATCAACGTTTGCATGCTCAAGGAAAGCTCACACAGAAGACTCTCAGAAAATCCAAGATTGACTCCACCCTGGTTGTGAGACTTGTAAATTTGACTACATCGTGGTTGTTGAATATTTTTGAAATCTCTTATATGATGTCATCATGTCAAATACAGGATTCCACATTTTCCCCTTCCATTGCACCAAAAGCCAGCAAGATAAATTCAGCAGGTTTTATTTTATGTCAGAATCTTCATTGTTTTTGCTAACGATGTATGTAGTGAAGATTATGAACTGCGAAAAAAAAAACCTGCTGACATTATATTATCTTTCTCTGCAATGGGAGAGTAAGATGTGAAATCTTGTGATTTGCATGCGAAGTATCCCGTTACAATTATGCAACTGTGCTTTCATAGATTTTGCGAAGGACTACTTCAACCTTCAAGCGTGACATGCGCATGGAAAACAAAAGACCCACTCCTTGTTGAGTCCCTTGGGGCTGTCCTGAGGACTGTCATGTGTGAAGTAGACAATTGATTATTAGGTGCAAACTTCATTTTCATGCTTAATGGAAAGCGTCGTAGTTTTCCTTATAAAGCACTTTGATAGGATTTGAGAGGTGGCTGCGATTTGGTGTGAATTCCGTTGTGAAATTCTGCGACCGTCGTAAACACATGGTCACCAAATTCAAAATACCAGAACGGAAATCTTTAGTATTGTTATACCGCCGACATTCAAAATGAAAGTTGGAGAACTGTTGCTTCTTTCTAGCTTCTGAGAGTGAAGACAAAGATGTTTGTGGCAACCACAACGTATTGGTTTTAAACTACACATACTGACAATGCTATCCTATTGTCTCCAAAAGACAGCAGATATGGTTTGATGGTTGCAATTAACAGCATGAGCTAGATAGTGTTTATAGATACTTTAGATCGTTGAATTAAGGTAAGATGTCACGGCTGCTTTTCAGTTGCTGGCTGTTTCTGTCGATAAGCGTGAAACCTGAGACTCCCAACGACCACCTGCTTTCCCGACCTTTTGCTCAGTTTCCACGACTCTACACTTCCATGCAGCTATATTGAGCGACGGTGTCCGCAAATGAGCTTTTGTATTTTGAAATGATACGATAGAAGCAACGCAGTCACGTCATGTATAGAAGGTTACGAGTTTCTCTTTAAGGTCGACACTGCAATGTGAGCTTGGTTTTGGGTTGAAATGCAAAGTCGGTTATGTTTCTGAATTGCACGGTCATGTACAACCCCTCACTTCTTCAACTATCCCGAGCTGCACGATTCTTTACAATTTTACTTTGACTTCAGTGTATTGTTGAGATGACTTGTTTTAATTACTACAAGAAAGTCTTTAAATTGCCTTAGTTATCAATGTTGAAATCAAACACTCAAACAGATATATCATGGGAGATTGTCGCTTCACAAGATCAATCGATGATCAGTCTCAACAGCAGTGGTTAGTGTACAAATGAAATAAAATATTAATAGTTGTAGGGTCTGGCCGAGTCATCGCAATCAATTCCAATCATAAACTGCTCATTGATTGCTCAAAATTGCAGGTCATACATACAGAAAATTTTCTCTATCATATTATATTGCACCATCCGAGTTGGCCATGTATGTCATCTACATTAACTTTTGCGCTTCTAAGTTACCAGTTTAGTGAAAAGAGTTGCTTCCAATTCGAATTTGGAGAAAATGGAGGGATCCTCATCTTCGACAGTGCCAAAGTTGCCACTCAGGAGATGCCTCGAAGACATAAGCAATTCTAGCGGCCGAACCTGCCTTCTGAGGCAGTCGTGGATTTTCCCCTTGACGCAAAAGGGTAAGCACAATTTATTTCGCTCGCACTTACACTGCGTTCTGTTGTTGTCTCCATGTAGATCCAGATGACGCATGGTCTCTGAAGCCGAATATTCTTGTCGCTTCTGTGAATGTAACAGGAAGAAGGTGAGAGTTTATCGTGCTCCGCGACCAAGGAAGCCAATCATGTCGTGGAAGGCGGAAGAAGTGAGTCAAGCCTTGGCTGATACCTAATACTTGTTTAGCCTCTATGTAGACGAATCAGTCTTTGGAAAGTTTGAAGAATCGACAGGTCCAAAGTGGAGTCTGTCACGATTTTGATTCCATGATGTTCACGACCTTCAGAGGAAGCACTCGAGTTCCTCTAAGTATGAGTGATGATTTTGGTTCATATTGTTGATAATTTGTGCTTAGATTGGCGAGTACAACTTAAGGTAGATTCTTTGATTCATTATCAAGCTTAGTCATAGGATATATTTTTTGAGTCCGATATTTAACTTGCCCTGCACCATCTGTAGTATTTTTAAGTAGGATCTGGTTCTCTGACCACTCGTATTCAATGTAATATTTGATGAACATCCACAGGTGTTTGGAAGTGAATATCTGCAGTGACTGAGTTTTGCAATTTTAGTGAACCCAAGGCGACTGTCACAGGACGCAGCATTGCGAGCAGCAGTTGAGAAGTTCAAAGGCGGAAATGGGAAACAAATTGGTGAGTACACATGTACGAGTTTTTTTAGGTAAGTAGTTAACTACTTTGGTAATTTTTAACTGCTGTGACCACAACTCTTCTGTGTAAAATCTCAAGATATGTGTTGGAATGATGGCATGTGTAGCTGCGAAATTACCCAACCGGTCAGATGTTAAGTGCCTTCACCGCGGGCAGAAGGTCCTTGATCCTGCCCTCGTGAAAGGATACTGGACCAAAGAGGTAAGTGATTCTTATATAACCACGTATTGATTACAAGAGTGAGGTTCCCCAGATCCTACGTTTGAGAAATGTGATGATTGATAAAAGTAGCTAAATTTCGCAGGAGGATGATAAGTTGCTGGAATTGGTTAACACGTTCTGCACCAAGAGATGGCTGCCATCGCTCGGTCATTGCCTAGTAGAAATGGCAAGCAGTGTCGAGAGAGGTGCGTATCAAATATGTGGTGATTCTTATGTTCCGACACTGAATACCCTCTATAGTCTCATAAACCATCAATAGGTGATGGTAATGCTGCTAATCATGGTATTTTGAGTGGCATCTGTGAGTGTATATATAGTATAATTGTTTGTGATCTTTGTCCGAAGAAATTTGTTTTGTCGTGCAAACAGTAGCTTAAGAGAAAGTTATATCTCAATAACATAGTGTTAATCGTGCTGACATATTTCCACGAGCCGGAATAAATACAAGATGCGACATAGTTAACCACTATTAAAACATGTAAATTTTGAATTTTGAATTATGCATACAATGATTCAAGTGGGCTTTTCTGCAAAATGTGAGAACTAAAATATTTACTAATTTATTGCTTTATATTGGAAAATTTTGTGTCAACGTGTTACAAATGTTTTCTAGCAATCTTCTTAATGCTTATATGACATGTAAACATCGAAAACGGTATCGAGAAAAGATGTAACATAGCAGTGAAAGAAAGGGAGTATGCACTTGAACAATAATGACAACTGGATGAACAGCAACCAATTAGATAGGTTGCTGGATATGTTATACCTTACTATGTGGCTCCATCATACCTTGACGCTTCTCAATCTCTTCTGGAATTGAATGGCGAGGCCAATGTCTACCTTCAGTACTTGAATGCTGAGGAGGATCTTCTGGCATTGAACAGCGAGTTCGGAGCGGATGAGTTTGACATGGATGACAGAAACTCCCAGACTTTGACTCCTCCCTTTGATGGCAAGTTTTTTACAGTTTGAGGATGAACTGTAAAAAACTTGACATCAAAGGGAGAAGTCAAAGTCTGGGCATTCTTGGGTTGTGCCCTTTGTGTAGTGGGTGTGTGGGTTTGAAAAAGCTTGGCTAACAGAAGCTGTGATTTTTACTCATAAGATTTTCTGTGACTTGTTGTTTTAGATCGAGCTTCTTTAATTGATATTTTATAAAATTGCAATTAAATCCAATAATAGGCCCTATATTTTACAGACTCATATAGAAGTAACAGTAGAATAGTGTAGATTGTCATGAAAATTTATGTTTTCTTCAAGAAAAATAATTCTGACTTTTTTTTGTAATTCGACACGGAAATGCACTTACATTTCTGTGATTTCAGTCGATTGCTTCGACCCGTCACTATATTGCTCTAGAACGCGAGCTTTTGATTTTCATAATGTTTGAGACTTTTATTCAACACCCAACGCTATTTCTCAAGTTTGTGTTGCAATAGTCAGTAAGTATAATATAAATTGCAATCTCGCAATTTACTACCCTTGTGAAGGACAAATGTGATGTAAGAATGCAACTACTGTAGTGTGTTATACTTTGCAGATTGTTGTGATAGACGCTGGGTATTGTAATTGTTGTGATAGATGCAAGGTTGTTCGATGAAATTGGAAGATGATTACAAATTTTTGGGCCGAGCATGCATACATACGAGACAGGATGTTTTGTTTTCACACACTGGATTATTAGCTAGGGAGGAACCTGCACATGGTCTAAGAAGTTGCCAAAAACTGCAAGTGGAGCGTTATTTTTGGCTCCCTTAAAATTTTGTTTATTCCAGATGATAAAAAAGCGTCCCGTGGGTCTGACCATGTGACGATTCCTTTCAATTGACTCAAACCTTATCGCGACCTCCATATTCACAACATCAGCAGGAGAGTCACAAGCATGTGCATGTGTGCAGGAGATTCTCTGCTCCATCGCTTCGTTCTGGTTGTAGCTACGAGCGTTTTGATGATGATTTTTTAGGTCATCTGCAGGTTCGTATCCCTAGTTAATAATCCAGTGTCTTGCGAAAAGACATTAGTTTTAGTATGTATGCTCGGTCCAAAAATTGAGAGTCATTTTTCAATATGATCAAATTTGAATTAACATCCCAACATCTATCCAGAACAATTACATTACCAACATCTATCCAGAACAATTATATTACCCAGCGTCTATCGCAGCTATTGTGATCAAAGTATTATATCTGCAAAACAAATAGAAGCTGAAATATTCTCATAGTGACTTCCATTGTTCATGGCTGTCATATATGGCAGTACTCTAATTAATTCTTTGCACTCTAATTAATTCATCTGTTCTTTACACATTAACAGTACACATTAACCTTGCAGTTACTTTGGGACAACTTTTGGGTAGCAAGCTTTTGGTTCCTCGGGCTTTCATCTACAAGGTTGCGCAAATGGCGGGAATTATCTGTGGAGCAGGACTCGTCAAGGATTGCCCAAAACTCCACTCCAGGTCGTGGGTGGTGCGACGAATACCATCAGTGCAGATTTCAACATCGGCACATGTCCAGCAGCAGAAATCATCGAAAATTTCTTACTGGTTTACGTGGCGAGGGGAGGAGAAATGGGGCATGGGGGAGCAAAAAAATACGAAGTACAAGTTCCCTGCGGGGAAGGGAGGCCGCGAGGGAAAGAGCCCAATGGTCGAGTGGGAGTGGGGCGAGCTAAAGCGGGAGGGCCTCCATGGTCGAAGCGGGAGGTCGGGATGCGGGCCCGGGCGGGCAGAGCTCGCGTTCCCCCTTTTCTGAGGAGCCTTTAGTGACGAGGATGTGCCGGTAGGTTCAAGAATCATCATATATGTGGATTCTTGAAGAGTGAATTCCCAGATGAATCCAAATGCAGCTTCTGAAACTGGGTCAGAGTCACATAAATCATGATGAACTGGTTCAAATGGAAGACGAGACTTAATGTCTGGAGGTGCTGTGATGTCCCAGGTGTTCGCCCCATTGCCCGTCGGGCTTGCAGTTTTCGTTGTCCATCTGGCGACCATTCTCATCACTGGCTGTGGAATCAACCCTGCACAAAGAGTCGGCCCGGCTGCTCTCTCGAACTACCAGCAAGTTTAAAATGACCAGGTGATTCATAGTATCTCAACCTATCACACTTAAATGTGTTATGTCAAACTCTTCCCATTGACCGAAATTCTCAGAAAATCCAAGATCCAGTCTCTCGCTCTCGCATGAACATTCTGCACGACAGCAGATGACAGGGCTTGTAATTTGGTACATCTGCTTTGAGCAGTGGATCTTCTGGGTTGGTCCCTTCATCGGAGCTACCTTGGCTGCCACCTATCACCAGTTCGTCATCCGTGCTTTGACGCTAGTATCACACTTCCTGTTCCCGCTCATTCCATGTCCGGGCCCATGAGTATTTCAGGGAGAAAACTTGAGAACAAGGTCTCAGATTGCAGAGCTCTTGCAGTGGCCGCTTCCGTTTGAAAGCAGCCGAATCACAGTGTTGGCCCTTCTCTGCTTCTCCTTCCCATCTTCGCTTCAGCGGCACTCGTGCTGCAAGCGATTCTCCTTCAGCTCTTGGTTGGGCTGGTGGCGTGCAGGCAGGAGTCTCGTCTTCGTCGGTGTCTACCTCGACGTCCTTCACGTACCGCCCCGGATTGCTACGTGACAGAACGGAAATTGCACTCGCTCGGTTGCGGTCAGACAACCCATCGACCGATAGAAATTGATCAAGAAGGGGGAGAGGTGATTGATCGATCCACCCTTCTCCTCAAACGCATGCTGCCTCGTTATCTTCCACAGTATGCGAGCCCAATGAATAAGAGCTCCGGCGAACGCCAGCTCCACGAATGCCACCTGCCAAGAAGTGATGTAGGTGGTCCTCTGCGGCTGCAAGAGCTGGAGAAGTGCTTTCGTGACATTTCTGCGGTAGCGATCCTTTTAGTCCCGGATCTTGTACCCGTTCTTGCTGGACTTGCTGCTCTTGAAAAGGGCCGCGAAGGAAATCTCATCCTCCTTCGTGACCTTGATGCTTTCACTTTTGAATAGGAAATGCCCGTCCTCTCCCGCGCATCTTCCCAACACTTGTTCCTAGTTAGCGATGACACGTCACTCTACGTGCGGTCGAAATCCACGCGTAGGTTGATCTCTGCCCTTCTAACACTCGCGCACCATGTCCTGGCACACGTAATTCCACCCCCACAGGAGGAAATCGAGCTTCACCGCAGTCAGCTCGTGCTGGAAAGCGCGCAACCCAATCTGCGGTAGCTTCAGCGGAATCATCCGCAGCTGCGTCGCCTTCGACATCGCGTTCTTGGAATTCCCGACCACACTTCAGAAGTCCGTGACTTTCTTCCGCTTCTAGTACGCGGACGCGATCTCTCCGCGAACTCTCACTATCAAGCAATTCCCGCGGTCGCGCACTAAGCTCTCGCTCTAACTTGCAATTCCCCGCGCGTCGCCTTCTTCTCTGATTTCTCTTTGCCAATTTGTGTGAGCGCTAAGCTCTCGCGAGAAATTGAAATTGCAATTCCAAGAATGAGTCGACCGCCTTCTGCTCACAAGATTTCATCTTCGACACTTGGCGTGGAGATCGACCCACTTGATTGCTACGCCGGCTTGGAGGCGTAACGGCCCCCCTCTCGCACGCTCGGCTTCACGCTCCGCCGTTGTGCGGGCTCACACGCTCGAAAATTGAATTCAAGTTCAACCGTCGTCCGTCGACGTAGCCCTGTTCGCGCAGCGCCGAAGGCGTATGGCCGAAGGCGCGGCAATGGAGGCCTTCGCCTCTGGCCGATTCTCGACTTTGTTCATTCCCGCAGCGCCAAAGGCGTACGGCCGAAGGCGTACATCTTCCGCCGAAAGCGTTGACCCGCAGCGCCGAAGGCGTTCCCTTGAAGACGTCCGTCGATGTAGATGCATCGCCAAAGGCGCAGCGCCGAAGGCACTTGAGCCAAAGGCGTTGACCGTAGTCAACTGGTCTGGTCTTTTCTGTTGATCTCTCTTATCCCCCCAAAGGCGCTTTTGCCGCAAGAGTTCCGTTCCGCCGAAGGCGCACGTGTCCGTACCGCCGAAGGCGTTCGGCCGAAGGCAGACCGTATGAAGTCGCTTGCCCCGAAGTCGTTGATCTAATCTTGATGCGCTGGCGCCAAAGGCGCTCGTACAAAGGAGTTCACCGCCGAAGGCATTGACCCTTGGGCCGAAGGTGGCTCGTCCGTCGACGTAGGCATTCCGCTAAAGGCGCTCCCTCTCAGTAACTTCCGACACTTGTAACTCATTGACCTCTCATGCGTTCCCAGCATTCTTGGGCTCGTTAGAACGAGCGCGTTGAGCTCTTTTCAACAAGAACCTAAGTAACTCAAGGCGTTACAAATTGAGAGAGTTCTAAGGGATTTCCCTAGTGCCGAAGGCGTCTAGCGCCGAAGGCGAATTCTCCGGCTTGCGCCAAAGGCGTCTCCTCAGAACCGTTTGTTCGGGCCGGGGCGCTTGTCCCGGACATTGCGCCCAACTCGTGGATTCTACAAGATTCTACAAGACCCGCGATCACCATTTTCACTCTATTTAAGTGTACCGATTACTATTTACAATCGATACTGCGGTACTGTTTTCCAAAAATGGTTTAAATTCCGCACAAAAAAAAAGTGCACTCGGTTGATGTACCTCACACCGAATCCACTTCCTCTTCCTCCGATCCCTCCGCCGAAGGTGTCTGTGCCGAAGGCACACGTGTCTCCTCCTTCCTGACTTTGTCTTCCGCAGATTGCTCAAGTTGCGTCTGCGCGGAAGGCGACTGCGCCGAAGGCGTTTCCGCCGAAGGTGCTTGATGTAATAACCCACCAAAGGCTAAAACTGCAATATAGCAGCAAAAAGGTCAAATCCACAGGGACAGAGCCAACACACAGAGTACAAAGTGTCACGTTTTAACAGACAATTGAAGATTTTAAATTCTTAGGCGACTCTCACTCCTAGAAATACTGCAAGTGCTCAACTCGGAGGTCACTCAGAGGACGCATACTACAGCGTAGTTGACCCCAACACACACCTGAAACTGGAAAAGCACAACTAAGACGCCGATTAATACCTCCACTCAAGGTTCGGGGAAAAAGTTTCTCAAGAGTACACTTAGAGGATCTGCAGGTAGTGTTCCCCAACTCCGGATTGTTAACTTTGACTGCTAGAGCAGAGCACCCGGGTTGGACTTCCTACTTCGGATGCGGTACCTTTGTCAAAACGAAGTCACTCTCACGCGATGACAACACACTCAACCCACAAAACGCGCAGAGAATACAGGACCCGAACTGAGAAACTCAATGGAGAAAAGATCCAGTGTCACAACTTAACAATCTATTGACGAGTTTGAATTCTCAGGCACTAGTCGAGTCATCAAAGGGTACTTGCTTGGAGGCCAAGCACTTCTCCGTCGCTGGCATGTTGGCCGGTGCCGCATGCCGTCTTCCTTGGCCCGAAGGCCTACGTGCTTCCTCCGAAGGCGTCTGTGCCTTCGATGCAGGGAGGTCAACTGACCTCCCAAGAACTCCTGCACTCGCATCCTCCTCCGAGGATGGTGAGTTTCTTGTCTCCGCGGCTCGTCCTTTGTCCGCGCTGCTCGCCGGCAGAACAAGCTTGCGTGCCTTTTGCTTCGGTTGACTTGAAGGCTCGTGGTTTGCCCGACGTCTGACTGGAGCAGCGGGAAGTGCCCGCTGGCTCTAGTCCGCCTCTCCATCCCACTTTCGCTTCCACGGTACCCGCTCCCGCCGCGGTATGTTTTCCACTCTTGGTCGAGCTGGTGGTGTGCTAACGGGCGCTTCGTTAGTGTCGGTGTCGACCTCGACGTCCTTCACATATCTGCCCGGATTGCTTCGTGACAAGAAGGAAAATTATACCCGCTCCGATGCTGTCTAACACCCCATCGACCCATAGAAATTGATCAAGAAGGGGAAGAGATGATTGATCGATCTCCCCTTCTCCTCCTGCGCGTGCTGTCGCGTTACCTTCCACAGTATCCGAGCCCAATGAATCAGAGTTCTTGTCAACGCCAGCTCCACAAACCCCACGTGCCAAGATGTCATGTAGGTGGTCTGGTGCAGTTGTAAAATCTGGAGAAGTGGTACCGCAACATTACTCCGCATGCGATCCTTGTAGTCACGGATCTTGTACCCGTTCTTGCTCGATTTGCAGTTCTTGAAAAGTGCATCGAAGGAAATTTCTTCTTCCTTCGTGACCTGCACACTCTCACACTTGAATAGGAGGTCGCCTTCCTCCCCCGCGCACCTTCCCAAGACCTACTCCCAATCACTGACTTGCCACCTCTCCGGGTGCGGTCAATAACCGCGCGGATGTTGGTTCTTCTCCCACAGCCACTCCCGGACCATCTCCTGGCACACCCAATTCCATCCCCATAGGAAGAAATCGGGCTTCACTGCTGACAACTCGTTCTGAAATGCGCACCGTCCGATATGCGGCACTTTCAGCAGAACCATCCATAGCTAAGTCGACCGGACCATCGAATTCTTGCAAGTTTCTGCGCACTCTATTCTCTGCTGATGCGAGCTTCTTGCTTCTCTCTGCGCACCCGGCTACTGCGCGTCGAGAGCTCAAGCGAACTCGCTGTAATCTGCAATTCTCTCCCACTCTCCCAAACTTTCCGCGAGCTCCCCGCAAATTCTCCACAAGACTCCTGCAAGGACTTTTCCACTACGCACTTTGCTGCTGTGCACTCTCGGCAACTTCCCCGCACACTCTCCTGCAACACACTCTCGACACAACTCTCTGCAATTCTCTCCGCTGATTCTCCGGATGCGCGTTGCGAGCTCTAGCGAATGCAAAATTGAAAATGTGAGAGTGAGTCCCTTCGTTTGGCGATCAAGATTGCTCAACGTTTGACACTTGGGCTGGCCGCGGTCCGCTTGAATGTGATGCCGGCGTGGAGGCGTAACGGCCCAATTCGCAGGCGCAAATTCACTCTCCACCATTGCGCGGACTCCCACACTTGTACATTCAATCTTGATCCCGCTGATTTCCGCCGACGCCGTTCTCCGTTCGCGTACCGCCGAAGGCGCTCGCGGCGAAGGTACGAACTTCCGCTATCTCCTTTGTCCTTTCTTTACGTTACATCAACAGAGTCATATGATGTGCTTGTTGATGGAGTTGTGTTATATCCAATGGAATTTTGAATGGATTATTAAACGGGGACTGCTTATTGCCCTGGCTAGCAGTCCAGCGATGAACGTATGACTGAGCTGCCGGTGAGAATTATTTCTCGGGATCAAACTCTGGGATCTTCTCCTGCGGTTTTAGCCCCCATTGCAGGTTTCAATGGAATGCTAACATGGCCTGATGATTTGTTGAAGGGGAACAGGTCAACCAAGGATACTCCAGTCTATGAGGAGGTGGAGGAGATGGTGAGCCTCGCAGCGGCAGTGTCATCATTGTGAGGTGGCTA